TGGCTGGTTGGCGACTTGTTAGATGTTTCCGGTAACCGGGAAAGTGGCTAAATAGGCAGAGAAATTTTGCCATCTCACCAGTAGAGCTATTGACTATAATGTTAAGATTTGTAATTAACATTGCTGATATTCCAAACTATTGGTTTTGACTGTGAATTTATAATTAGCTTAGAAAGTATAAGACTGCAGAAAATTTGTTAATAAGATATTAGCTACATAATTAACATGAATAATACCTAAGAATTGTGAATTTAGTGTATACAAAAGTAGTTTAAGATAGGAATCTATCTCCGTTGTGGATCTGTTAGTTTCAATATATTAGTTAATAGTAATCTTTAGTAATCAAAGCTGAAGTAATGCTTAATTCTATTAGAAAATGGCTTAAGTCAATTTGATTTGGGTCTGAATTTTCTTTTTTTTTTTGTGATTATTTTTCTTGTTTGAATTTTATAGCTTTATATGGATTTTTAATGTTTTCTAAGCATGGAAATTGACATGAATTGGGATAAGAGGAGTTTTAATTTTATTTTGAAAATAGGAGTGATCGAATAGGCCTAGTTAAAATTTTTATGATTCTTGTTAGAGAACCTTGATAGGTAAATACATTTAATTTTGAACTTATGAATGCGAAACATTCAGAATGATTATTATGAATCCAAACGCGAAAGCTAAACTGAAATATTTGAAATAGTAGGTTTAATTCTTGCTAGGAATAGTTAATCGGTATATTTTAAGTTGTAAGTTAAATCTCTTAGTAGATGTATTCTTTAGATTTTTTTAAGTTTAAGTAAAAGCATTTGTTCGTATTGGAACAATAATATAAAAAATGTAACCAAAGGTATAAATATGTGGCTATTATCTTTAAGCAAGAATGAAGAGAAATGGAAAGGATTATAAAGAGTACTATAAATAGTTTAGACCACTACGAAACCATCTAGTGAAAGTAATGAAATTAACTTAATGATATTGTTGTTATGGAAGGGAGAGATGGGATTTTAAATTGATTGATTGCCCGACGGAAATAGGCTGTAGATGGCGATTTGATGATATATATAATGATATGTGATATGTTGAGCATGTATGATAGGTCAATGTTTTAGGGGTAGGTGCTTGTCGAAAATTTGATAAAAAATTAGACTAAATTTTTATTAACAACATCATTTAATAAGTTTATTTAGATTAGTTCTAAAGTTGGCTATATAATAAATATAAGTGCTCTGAATTATTTACTATCTTAATTATTCAATAATTATTTACATTTATTTTATTATTATTTTTCATTAATTTAATATTGTTATATTATTATTGTTGTATTATTTTGTTTAATACTTATTATTTATTTTATTGCATTTATTGTTGGTCTTATTATTGTTTATATTCTCTCCGCATCCGCACCTCTATCCCGCCGTTTCAATCAGTTAGATATGCTTGCGATTTAATTGCAAAAATACTTGACTTAATTGTGTTACATGTGATATTGCTGTGTTTTGTTTTTTGGAATTTGTGGGATGAAGTGGGTCACATGGGTTTTGTAGCACCTTTGTTACCTTTATATTGGTATCCCAATATGTGATTTATCGTTTAGCCGGGTTAAAATGGGGAGAATACGGGCCCCCTGTGCACCTACGTTACCAAGTTACCGTTAAACCACGGTTGGCTTCTCGTCGTTGCGCACCGGACAGTCTATGATTTGATCGGCAGGCCAAGCTAGTGTGGTGGCTCTCCTTGTGTGGATGCGCTGATTGATTCTAATTTTGGGATGTTGGTAGCCACCGGTTGTTGCCTCTCTTGTTGGTATGAAAAAAGAAAGAGAGGATAGAAAAAAAAAACACCATGCATGAGGGCTGGTCACATGTGAGATTTAGTCCTTCGGCCAGATTATGGGGGATCGGCTCCCTGACGTGCACATGTGAGAGGGAGAGCCATGTGGAGGGGACGGACTCATCGCAGCTCGAATATTCTGGTGACTCCACCCGGGGCTGACTAAATTTCCACGTGAGTGATTATATGAAGATGTTAATGATTGTAATAGTGTTGGTGATGTGCCATTTAGTGACTGGCTGCATGTGACGTCATAAAACTAGTCGGTTATGACTTTAGTATTTTGATTAGTTTTACACATTGTGTGTTACTGTGTCTGTGTTTGTGCCTTATATAATTATTACTCCTTTATGAAAATTCACATGTGTTGTTTATATTTTCAAAGAATAAGTTTTCTCTTTAATTCGAGTTTAGGTTACGTTTCTGTTGATCTGCAGTTGGCACTAAAAAAGAAATTTTCCCTAGTTCCATAACTTATTTTTTATCTTATGTATACTGTATTGTATTAAAATGGTTTCTTATGTATATAAACAAACATATTAGTGTATCTTGCAGTTGTTAGTAATTTTATTCTTTACATTTTAGTCGTGTTATATCATAGGACGAGATGATTTCTGTAGCCCATATAGACAACCACGTGTGGATGTTATTTGTATAATTGGTCGCTTGACTGTATCGATTTTGTAACAAAGCATATAATTTTGGGGCCGAGAGTAATATAATATATCTTTTGAGGTTTGCATTTTTTTTTTTTTTAGTAATAAATGGGCACTGAATATTTGAAAAATTTTTATATTGAGAATCAATATTTTTAGTGTTTGCAGCCGCTTACTACCGGGCCTCGGGAGCCTTACAGCTTCACCTGGCCTATGCCGTCCGGCATTTTAGTGTTTCAGGCTTACTACGGGCCTCGGGAGCCTTAAGCTTACCTGGGCCCTAGTGCCGGTCCGGCCCATGGAAACGGGTCGTGACATCTACTGAATTGACTCGCATGAAAATTTCATATAGAGAGTTACCGGTGTTTATGGAATATTCAAGTCATGGTTATGTAAGTGATCCTTTAAATTGAAATTACTAAACTATCTTATATGAGGATGATTATATTTTGATTTTTTATTCACATTATTTATTTATGAATTATAAGCAATGATTAAATGGACATAGTAAGAACTGTACAAATATACTTGTCTAATTAAGATAGGATTCATTATCCAAGGTAAATTAGGAAAAATGTTCTAATTGTTCTCTATAGGTATTGATTAAGAAATCCTTATGTAAGGTAAAATGAAATTAGCAAATCAGATTTGATATTTCATTGAAATGACCAATAGTTAAGATTAAGAGAATTAACATAATTTAGTAAAACAGACACACTACATGCCTAATTACTAAATCAGAACGTTAATGATGAATGAATATTAATTACACTGATAAATCATGCACTGAAAGGTTAAATTAAACAACTTTGACTTTTCAAATATTTGCATAGTCATGACATATTGCAAGACAATATACTTGACATTCAAATATTAATTAATCATAACTTGTCCTGCATTCGTGCAGCCTATCTCCTGATATCTAAAACTACTCCATATACCAAGATAATCATTAAAATAAGAAATTAAGTATTTCTTATTTTATAGCTTGAGTTATTTATATTTTAATTAAATTTTAATTTAATTCAATGTAATATATCACATGAATGAATATAACTAACGAATATATATAAATTAATACAACATAATAAGACATTAATTTAAAAAAATAATAAATAAATTTATCATCATATGCAAATTGCCTATTATAACATATTAAATTTTTAACAAAAATATGCTAAAATAAATTTAATGTCCCTCTTACAGCATAACTGTAATTATATCAAGAAAGAATCTAAATAAAATCATTAAGATTATAATATAATATACTATCAAAATAATATACAATATATAATATTATATAATAGTATATATAATGAATTCTCAATTATTATAAAACAATTTAGGCAGAAATAAGAAAATGTATAATCATAAAATACATAATTTAAATTTTTACTTACCAAGATACTTGCAAAACTTGAGGATATTGCCTTTCTTTCATACATACAAATCCTATAATTGAATTCTCAATTATATAACAATTTAGGCAAAATAAGAAAATGTATACATATAAAATACATAATTTAAATTTTACTTACAAATTATACTTGCAAACTGAGGATAATTGCCTTTTCTTTATACATACAAACCTAGGTTAATTATATTTTCTTTTTGAATATTGTATTTCTTTTTGAATATTAGGGAGAGAAATTCAAATCTGAATCTATTATTAGGCATTCTATTTTAATAAATGAATAGATAATTTTAACCGCAAACAAATTTACAACCAAGTGTATTGTGCTTTGATAGACAGTCAGAAAATCACGCCAGAAGGGTTGAATTCCATATTTTTATTTGATTTTTGCTAAATGAACACAAGCACGCCACATCAGCCTCTATTGTTTCAAATGACTTATTTGGCCCCCTTTCTTTCCGATTTGGTGTCAAACAGACCGTCTAATTTAAGCACCCATTATTCCATTACTGTTAACAACTGGAAAGTGAATCTCCATTTTCTATACCACCTAACGAGTCAAACATGTCCAAAAGAATCAAGTAGAACAATTTGTCTGCTGAAAATGAGAATGAAAAACATGCTTCTGAAAAATCAAATGCAACCTGCCATGCCATGCCATCATGACTCTCCAATTAAGCACAAAATACACTTAGTCTTATCATACAATACTATTAGGGACCTTGTTACACTGGTTAGTCCTATCAATTGTTCTACATAATTATATGTTACTCAACAATCTAATATTAATAATTAACAAAAAAATAAATAAAATAAAAAGAATTTGGTACGAAAATACCCTTATAGCTTGTTTGAATAAAAACTCCATAAACTATAAAATTATTGACCCGGTCTGGTAAACTTGTGATCTTCACAAGTAAATCATAAGCCATGAACACTTAGAGGTTGAGAAGAGCACTGAAGGAGTATAATTACAGAATCCAGGCCTCCGCTATCACAAATACAAATTACTCCTCTTACCCTTTGTTTTTAAGGGATTTCTATTTAATCTTGGTAGTGTAGTTTTGAGCTCCAATAGAGAATAGAGAGAAAGTGAGACACATATTATATCCTACTTTAATTTGTTGTAAGATTTCTTATTCATTTGTTGTTTTTTATAATGCAAACAAGAGACCTATGAAGGATACTGAGGAGAAAAGCAGAAACAAACAAAGCATACATACTAACAGACTCGAGATTTTACAAAATGGTTATCTTATTACATGCCTTCCCTTCAGGAAGCAATATACAGGACTTCAGAACACAACCCATTACATATTCAATACATGATTCTCTTCTACTGAGTTCGTAAGACGGAGAGGAAGTGAATAAGCAGAAGCTAACCTTGCCTCAAGCCTTGCTGTCTACTGCCATTGGCATTGGATCCTGCTTGCCAGTCCCGTTCTGCATTTCAATAATCAAAATGGAGAATCAGAAGGGAAATACATCAGTAAACAACATCACAAAGGCAATTTTTCTTTTACAAAAAGTTCCAGATTCTGCCAACTTACAGCTGATTTTGTTTGCTCCAATTTACTTATCTTTGAAAATATGTTGCTATAAAATTGTGCATCCTTCTTGTTGTACTCCCTTACTTTTTCCTTCAAAATTTTGTACTCCAGCTTCACATCCCTGATCAAAATAATAAAAGAAAAATCAGCAATGAACAGAAAGGAGAAAACTTAATTTTCTGCCAACACAATGGTAGACAAAAAGCTAACTCTCCAATGTTATGATTTTTAACAAGGAGTTGTTTCACCAAGTTCAAACTGGATGACTTACCGATTGTCAGGATCAATCTCGAGCGCCTTCTTGATGTCCATCTCTGCTAAGTCTAAGTCAACAAGTTGTATATATGCTTGTGCTCTTCTATACAAAGCTTTCACATTTCTGATATCCAGTTCCAACACCTACATAGTCAAATCCCATTTCATGTTAGCATATGGAAGCTGGTATAAAAAGAAAATTTAGTAGATCTTGAATTCAAAGAGCTCAAACCTTGGTGCATAGCTTCACCGCCTCCTTGTAGTCTTTAAGCTTAAGTTTGCATGCTGCATTATTGAGCTTGCACGTAATTTTGAGTGCCTTAGTTTGCTTCTTCTCTTCATCACTGAAAGAGGAGTCGTACTCAATAAAGCTGACAGCCTGCCATACCATTACAAAACGTGTCAAATGAACAACTTTATAAGCGCAATATATGATTCGAGATTGATTGTGGAGTAATATACCTTTTCATATCTCCTCGAGGCTCTTTCGTACTTGCCAGCCTTGAATAGTGCATTTCCTTCTTCCTTCTTTTTCCCTGCTGCTTCAATCTTTTCTTGTGTATTCATTTCCCATGATTCCTTTTCCTGCAGCCAATTAATTAGCAATTAAGCTTTATAAAACTTGTACATACTGAACAAAAAAAAGTACTTTAAGGAGCAAGTATTCAACACCAACCTTGGTGAAAGATATCATTTCAACTTCATAGTATAAAGTTGAGTTGGCAGGAATTGAAGCCAATTCTTGACGTGATTCGAATTGACCGAATGCATATTCTGGCTGAATTATCACCAGTGCAACTTCCCCTTTCTTCATGCTCTTCACAGCTTTATCAAGTCCATCAATAACTTGTTCTACACACAAACCATTGCAAATGTAGTTAGTTTTCGAAAAGATTACAGAATTAAAACAATGTCCGCCACTAAAGAAATAGGATATCAACATGCACGTGCGTAGCATCCAAACTATAACCAAAAAATTAATACCTTCATCTATCTTGAATTCTAATGGTGGCTCCTCATCATGGCCCTTCTTCACAAAAATGGTTCCATCATGCAGCTTCCCAATTAGTTTCACTGAAACAAACGACTATTGTGAGAAAATATGTTCCAACTTCCAAGCATATCTAAGGAAAAAAAGCATTTCTGATGTTATTACCTTGAACAATAGTTCCATCATTTGGCCGTTCATATCCCTCTCCTTCCTTCAAGATCTTTTTCAGAACCTTTTTGTCCTTCGTAACATCAGTTACAGTCTTCCATGAAACTAACTCGAGCATAATCTCAAGTGTAGCGTTTGGAGGAACAGCACCTTCACTACCAAGTGCTGGCCTGCCATTCTCTCCAAATCCATCTGCAAAACCCAACTAACAGTAAATAAACAATTGAATTAATCAGAAAAATAAAAGGAAGAAAAAAAGAGTTGAACTGACATTGTGGCTTCACTGTCAATAGCACTTTCTCTCCCTTTTTCATCGTTTTAACAGCTTTTGCCAAGGCGGGACAGAAATAGCCTGCACAAGAGATAAATCATTAATTTCCTTGAACAATGGATTGAGGAGAACAAATCACATATTTTAGAGGTAAGAAACAAACCATCTCCAACAGTGAACTCAACTCCATCAGACTTTGAGATTACAGTTCCATGTTCCAGCCGAGCTTCGTACTTGACTGCATCAAAATCATGAGAAAGCATTAGGTAAAAATGACAAATGTCACCACTGCCGTCTAATTAACAGCCAGTAGGTAGCATACCAAGCACTTCATCAAGGTCTTTGGGATTATCCCATTTCTCGCCTTCAACAAGTATTTTCTTGAAAATCCCTCCATCTTTACAGATGTCCTTGACACTTGTCCAAGACAGCAACTCCACATTGAATTGAAGAGTTGCATTAGCAGGAATTGTTGGAGGAGATCCAGATTCACCATATGCTAATTCTGGAGGTATAGTGAAAATGGCATTCTCACCCTTCTTCATAGTCTTGATGCCTTCATCCCATCCCTTAATTACTTGTCCTGTAATAAGATTGCCCACATTTAGGCAGCTGAATCATCAACAAGAACAACCTTTGGAAGCACCCAGTGTGCTTCTCCTAATCAAATAGCCAAACCAGCATAAGAAGCAAAAGAATAGATACATGATTAAGGATGATATTTGTTCATTTCCAGTTAAACCGTAACTCACTCATAAAGGCCTGAGAGAACTCGCCCCTAGAAGCTATTTATTTAGAGGATAGCACCTAAGACAATTATATCCACCTCAAACACTCCAGAATACTAGCATATTTCTACTCAAGATTGTTCCTGCTAGAATATCTTTTTGTTAATAAAGAATTCTGAAGAAGATGAGCCTCTCGCATTAAATGTCTTAATAAATTCCCATCCTTTTAGGAAATCGTTAAAAAGTACACTCCTCTTTAAATGAACTTCGTGCTAATTAGAATTTAGCTAGCTTACCACCCTTGTATTCGTTTGTAAATTTGATATTTAGTCAGTGTGAGATTCTTAACATATCTAAAAGTCAAAAAAAAAAAAAAAAAAAAAAAAAAAAAAATAACCAAATATCTAAAAGTCAAAAAAAAAAAAAGAAAAAAAAAAAAAAAAAAAGAATTTTGCTGACCCTAAAAAAAAAAAAAAAAAAAAAAAAAAAAAAAGATTTTGCTCCCTTCCAGAAGTCATGAAGAGCATTAAAACAAATTCCACGGCTCTCAATTCTCGAGTGTAAGTTAACAAATTGGAGAACGTACAAATGCACTTTAGCAATCATTCTCATAAAATTAAATTCAAATTTCAGTAACATGGGAAAAAGATACCTTGGCCAAGCTTGAATTTGAAGGGCGTTCCCCTATCACGACTTGAATCGAACTGTGTCCCATCAAGCAAAGTCCCAGTATAATGCACTGGAATTAAGAAGATAAAATCAATTCCAAAACAACAAATCAATTTCATAATCAGCGAAAACTATGACCAAAGTCCATCTAATACCCAATTAATCAGGAACCAAAAAAAATAATTACCTTCAACTTCATCACCGATACCAGGAGTCTCCCATCCTTCACCCTCTTTAATTAGCTTCTTCTTAAGCCCATTCTTTCCAATCTCTTTCTCCTCACCAACCTTAACAACTGGAGCAACTGGATCCTCCTCTTCTGGAACATCCATCACATCATCATCCTCCATCTTGTTGTTTGCAGTTGGGAACTCAAAATCGTCCTCCATTTCTCAAAAACACAGATAGGATTTGTTTTCTTAAAAAGAAAATCGAAGCAAGTTTTGGAATTTGCGAGCTCAGAGACTGATTTCTTCACGATATCCATGGTAGATGCAAACTAGGGTTTTATATAGCAATGGCGTGAAAGGATTAGTGAACGATGAAGTGTAGTCTAGAGAGTTCTAAAATGTGACACAGTCCCGATTGTTCCAGAAATGACTCCCTTTTTTCAGTTATTATATTAACCGTTTTAGAGGTTTTCAAGATCTAATTGCGCCATTGTTCCGCGTGGCAAATGTTTGGTAATACAGTTATACTTTAAAAGTAAATAAATAAAATAAAAGTAAGAAGGATAAAGAAAATAAAATAAAAGAGAAATTAAAAAAAAAAAAGTTTTCTTTTAGAAAAATGTTTATATGAATCGCATCCATGACCATATTTATGGATTAAATCAATAAAATTAAGAATTTTATTGAAAATGGAGTATTTTTAACTACACACTTATAAAAAAAAAAGATAAAATTGAAAAACTTTTTAAAAAATATTTAGACCATGTTTGGTTTGATGTAATACAATGTAATAAAAAGTGTAATGTAATAGAATGTAATTAAGATTTTATTACTATGTTGAATAATATAATTGAAAAAGTTTGTAGAATGTAATCATCATTCAATTTTTATGTTTATTTGTAAATATGTAATGTAATAAGTACACCACCGCTACCATCACCACCATCGCTACAACTGCAACTCTACCACCACCACCATAACTATCACATTATTATTAATAAAAAAAAATATTTAAATCAAAAGTTATTCATTATATCAAGCTATTAAAGACTATTTAGATCTATAAACTATTTGGACTAGAAAATTAAAAAAAAAAAAGTTAAGCCAAAATAATGGATGTTAAAAAAAAATAAAAGTTAAAGTCATTGAAAATTAATTTTCTTTTTACACAATTTTGTATATTTTTATTGAATAAATTAAATTACAATATAAAATTATGGTATTTTGATCTTTTTATTGATTTTTCATTCCATTCTTCCTATTCCTATAACAATACAAATGAATAATTAACAACGATGCGATAGTTGTAGTGGTGGTGGTGATGGAGCGATGGTTGAGGTGGGGGTGGTGGCGGTGGTTGCAGTGATGTTGGTGGTAGAGTGGTGGTGGTGGTGATGATGGTGATTGTGGTGGAGTGGTGGTGATATGCGCCGGTGGTGATTGCAATGGTGGAGTGATGGTTGCGATGATGGTGGTGGTTAAGTGGTGTGGTATAATGGTGGTTGAAAATAGGGATGACCTTTGAGAAATGCAATGGGTTATATATAGATTTTTTTATGTAATGAACATTACATCAATTTAAGTAATAAAGATTATATGTGTAATCACAATTATATTACAAGGTTAAAAAAGAGTCTATCCAAATAATATAATGAATTATGTAATGTAATTCTCATTTCATTACATGGTTGATTACATCATACCAAACATATATCCAAATAATATAATGAACTATGTAATGTAATTCTCATTTCATTATATGGTTGATTACATCATACCAAACATAGTTTTAGTTTCTTTATTTAGTCGCACACTAAGATATAGTCTAGTGGTAAGTACATGTATGATTTGACAATAGATTTATGTTCAAATTTCCTCTCCAATATACCAAAAAAAAAAGTTTCTTCATTTAGTCCTTAAATACGGCGATGGCCAGGTCCAAGCAATTTTTTTCCGTTCTTTTATGTAAGAGGAAAATATAATTATCTTTTTATTTGAAAATTTTCTCTTTAAATTACTAATAAAAGAAATAACATTTATTTTCTTTCCCTTTTTATTCTCCTTCTAAATAAAAGAAAATAGTATTTCCTCATCAATTTTTTCCTTTATTTTACCACCATCTAAATATACCTTAGAGGATAAAGTAAAATAAAGCCAACAGATTAAAATCACTATTTTATTTTATTTTAAACTAACCCGGTTCCATGGACCAGATTCACACTAGCATCCAGTTAATTTAAAACCATCGAGCCAAATAGTAAACCTAAAGATAACTAAGCCTAATCATCAAGCCCATATGTGAATTTTCGTAGCAAGCCCAAAGTATACATATGAATAACATTACAAATTCACATATGTAATTAATTTTACTTTTACAAATAAATCATGCTCACAAACATGGGGGTGTGCAAAATAACTTTTCGGTTTGATTCGATCAGTCTGCTCAAATGGAATTTGGTCTAGTTGGTTTGCAATTGGTAGTCCGGTTCAATTTTACAGAAACTAATATCCATATTTATTATCCAACTCATCATGAAACACATTAGAGGATTTTAATAGCTAAATAATGCTTTACCAAGTATAAGTTTATTTTATTCAACCTATCCATTCAACAACTCATAATCTAGTTTTGTCAAAATTTCTACAACAGTATAAATAATTTCTCTAACCATTCTAACATGTCAAATACTTTATAATATAACTACTTAGCACTTTAAAATACTAATTTCTATGATTATACATTTATTTCCATGAATCCTTATATTTGAGCTATTACAAAAAATAAATTTCCTGCCATAAAACCTAATTACTACCTAACTATCAAGCTTTTAATATTCTAATTATGCTATTAAAATGTGCCATTAATATAAAATTTTAAAACCAAAAATTCTAGAGAAAATGAACACCATGGTCAAACCTCCATAGAACATGATTTAGGATTTTTACTCAAATTTTCATCAACACTATAAACCTTAGTTTATTCCACAATTTTTTACATCGTAATTCAAGTTTAACCACTTAATCTAGGCTTAATACCTAAACCATATAAAATTCCCAACTAGGAGCTTTTTAATCCAAAAACATTAGTATTTGATGTAATTTCTTTGCAATGATCCAACTTAATAGGTAATAAGTGTTAAACCAACAATATTATCTTAGTGTAGATTGCAAATTTGAATTTAGAACCTTGTATATAATCTCTTTTAAATTCAAATGTATAGTTTCAATGTAGGAAGTGGTAGTAACAAACACGCTCTGTAAATTCTATATATGGGTTCAGCAACTTAATAAAATTATTCACTTCTTCTGCTAATAAAATCTTCTCAATCTCTTTATGGTATCAGAGCGTTAAGCTCTTGAGCTTAACGATCCAAAGAATTTCTTTTCTAAAATGGCTTCTTCAAATATCACCCATCCTTCTAGAAAAATTTGAATTGTTATTGACGCATCTCAACTTCCATTAAAACTCACTCCTCATAATTATCCTACTTGGCGAGCACAAATTACTCCCGTTCTTCACGCTATAATTTGATTGGCTATATGGATAGAACGGCTCCACCCCTCCTACTATAATTCATAAAGATGGCCAGGATGTGGCTAATCTTGATTATGAATTTTGTTATTATCAAGACTAGTTGATTTTGGAGACCATAATTACTTCCCCTAGTTTCTCGGCTATGCACATTATTGCTTCGGTAAAAACCTTTGCAGAAGCTTGGGTAAAAAATTCGAGTATCTTTTGCTAATAAGTCCTTAATAAGAATTCTTTCTCTCCATGAGAAACTTTTTGATGCTAAACGACAGACAAAACAGTATCGGAGTACCTGTAATTTATTAAAACTGTGGCTGATGATCTTGCTCTTTATGGTAGCCCTATCTCTAATGTTGATATGGTAGTTCATGTTTTGAATGGCGTTGGTGCTCAGTTTTGAGATATTGCGGTGGCAGTCCGTGCTCGAGATACCATGATCATGTTTGAAGAGCTTCAAAATAAGCTTTTAGCACATGGTTATATCTTTAAAAAGGTGATCCTTCTTATGATCCTATTCCAAGGACCGCAAATCAAGTTTAAAAGGGGCTCTCTAATAAACAGAAATTTCAGAGCTCCGGTTTAGGTAACTCCAGCTTCTCTATGCATTCTACTGTCATGTCTTCTTCTCAAGTGTTTAGAAATTCTGACAATAATTTTGGTTCTGCTCCATCCAAGAAAGGGTCTTTTTCTACAAAGGTCCAATGTTTTTCTGACAAAGTTGGGCATAATGCTCGTCAATGTTTTCAAGCTAAGGATTATTTCAAAAATAATTTTCCATATCTACGTGCAAATTATGTGAATGCAAATGGCTCTTCTGATCCAAATTGGGTTCTTGATACAGGTGCTTTGTATCATGTTACTAATGATCTTCAAAATCTCTCGCTCCATGCACCATACGATGGCTTAGACGAACTTCATCTCACTGATGGTTCAAGTTTGAGGATCACTCATGTTGGCTCAAAATTTCTTTCTTTTCATGTCATCTTGTTCTTTCACTGATGTTTTGTGTTCCTTGTGCTAAAGAAAATCTTATGTTTGTTTCTCAATTTTGTTGTGTCAATAATATTTCTATTGAATTCTTTTTTATGTTTTTGTTGTTAAGGACCTGTCCACGGAGGAGATAATCATAAGGGGGCAATTGAGGTCTCTCTTTATCATTTATCATCTTCTATTCTACCCTCTCATCCAATTGCTCATCTTAGTGTTTATACTTCTTCTACCTTTTGGCATCAGCGTTTAGGGCATCCGACTGCTAAAGTTTTTAATTATGTCTTGTCTTGATTTAAATTACCAGTATCTTCTATTCAAAATTTAGTTCGTGATTCCTATCGTTGTGATAAAAGTCATAGACTTGCATTGATATTTCTTCATTGTCAAATACTCATCCTTTGGAATTATTGTACTCTGATTTATAGGGACTAGCTCTCATCCAATCTATTAATGGGTTTAAATATTACCTCGTAATTATTGATCATTATACCAAGTATATTTGGTTTTATCCTTTGAAGGCTAAATCTAATGTTTTCTTTGTCTTTCCAATATTTCAAAAATTGGTTAAAAATACATTTCGCTCTAAAATTGTTTCTGTTTATAAAGATGGGGGTGGTGAATTTCAAACTCTTAAAACATTTTTCTGCTCCCATGGTATTAATCATTTACAAACACCACCACACACTCTGCAACATAATGGTGCTGCTGAGCGTCGACACTATCATTTGGTCGAAACTAGTTTAACCCTTCTTCAAACAGACTCCTTACTTTGCACATATTGGTCTTATGCTTTTCAGGCTATAGCATATCTTTTTAA